ACATAAGCATGGGCAAAGACTTCATGACTAAAACACCAAAATGGGTACAAAAGTCAAAATTGACAAACGGGATCTATTTAAATTAAAGGGCTTTTGCACAACAAAAGAAACTATCATCAGAGTGAAGAGGAAATGTACAAAATGGGAGAAAAATTTTCCAATCCATCCATCTAACAAAGTGCTAATATCCAGAATCTACAAGGAACTTAAATTTACAAGAAAAAAACAACCCCATCAAAAAGTGGGCGAAGGATATGAACAGACACTTCTCAAGAGAAGACATTTATGTGACCAACAAGCATATGAAAAAGAGCTCATCATCACTAGTCATTAGAGAAATGCAAATCATGTTCAGCTCACATCGGGGTCACCACCTGTGATCATCATTCACAGGACTGTCCTGCAGACCCTGACTTAGCAATGGATGAATGAAATACACTCACCTAGTATACTGATTTGAGTGGGCTAAGGATGGCCGTCAGCTGCTTTCAGAGGGCACTTGCAACTAACCGACCACCACTCCCTATTCCTCCTCACATGTTCTCAGTAGAGATTAAATAACAGAGGTTCTAAGTCAACACATTTGTGGATAATTCACATGGTTAAAAGAGTGGTTTCATGAATCATAAAAGCTTTTGGTTCCTAGGCTCAGAACAAACACCATTAATGAGCAATCCCCCTTCAACCTCCCACTGAGAGGACCATCGGCACAAAGTTTACATGAGTAAACAGAGACAAAGAAATGTGGGGTAAACAGACTTAACTGGGAAAGGTTTTATTATCACTAATCTGCATCTTATGACCTAATGCTCTAAGGTAAGAACTGGTTGCTTTCAGCCAGTCTCATTAAAACCTTTCAGCCTTCCAAAAGGTTTGAGACTATAATTTTATAACATCCCTAATATTTCCCTTAATATTTTGCCAGCCACCCCAAGTGAATCTCAGCACACAATGAGATACTATCTCATGCCACTTAGAATGGCAATCATTAAAAAGTCAGGAAACGAATATAAAATCAATGTGCAAAAATCACAAGCATTCGTCTACACCAATAACAGACTTAAAGAAAGCCAAATCAAGAGCGAACTGCCATTCGCAATTGCTACAAAAAGAATAAAATACCTTGGAATACAACTCACAAGGAACGTAAGGGACCTCTTCAAGGAGAACTACAAACCACTGCTCAACGAAATCAGAGAGGACACAAACAGATGGAGAAACATTCCATGTTCTTGGTTAGGAAGAGTTAACATCGTGAAAATGGCTATACTGCCCAAAGTAATTGACAGAATCAACGCTATCCCCATCAAGCTACCATTGACTTTCTTCACAGAACTGGAAAAAACTACCATGAACTTCATATGGAACCAAAAGAGAGCCCGCATAGCCAAGTCAATTCTAAGCAAAAAGAACACAGCGGGGGGCATCACACTACTGGATTTCAAACTATACTACAAGGCTACAGTAATCAAAACAGCATGGTACTGGTACCAAAACAGAGATATAGACCAATGGAACAAAACAGAGGCACCGGAGGCAACACAACATACATACAACTATACAATCTTTGATAAACCCGACAAAAACAAGGAATGGGGAAAGGATTCCATGTTTAACAAATGGTGTTGGGAAAACTGGCTAGCCATGTGCACAAAGCAGAAACTGGACCCCTTCCTGACACCTTACACTAAAATTAACTCCAGATGGATTAAAGACTTAAACATAAGACCTGGCACCATAAAAACCCTAGAAGGAAATCTAGGCAAAACCATCCAGGACATAGGAGTAGGCAAGGACTTCATGAACAAAACACCAAAAGCATTGGCAACAAAAGCCAAAATAGACAAATGGGACCTAATCAGACTTCACAGCTTCTGCACAGCAAAAGAAACAGTCACTAGAGTGGATCGGCAACCAACAGAATGGGAAAAAATTTTTGCAGTCTACCCATCTGACAAAGGGCTGATATCCAGAATTTACAAAGAACTCAAACAGATTTACAGGAAAAAAACAAACAAGCCCATTCAAAAGTGGGCAAAGGATATGAACAGATACTTTACGAAAGAAGACATATATGAGGCCAACAATCATATGAAAAACATGCTCATCGTCACTGGTCATCAGAGAGATGCAAATCAAAACCACATTGAGATACCATCTCACGCCAGTTAGAATGGCGATCGTTAAAAAATCTGGAGACAACAGATGCTGGAGAGGATGTGGAGAAAAAGGAACACTTTTACACTGTTGGTGGGAGTGTAAATTAGTTCAACCATTGTGGAAAACAGTGTGGTGATTCCTCAAGGCCTTAGAAATAGAAATTCCATTTGACCCAGCAATCCCATTACTGGGTATATATCCAAAAGACTATAAATCGTTCTACTATAAGGACACATGTACACGAATGTTCATTGCAGCACTGTTTACAATAGCAAAGACCTGGAATCAACCCAAATGCCCACTGATAATAGACTGGATTGGAAAAATGTGGCACATATACACCATGGAATATTATGCAGCAATCAGAAATGATGAGTTTGTGTCGTTTGTAGGGACATGGATGAATCTGGAAAACATCATCCTCAGCAAACTGACACAAGAACAGAAAATGAAACACCGCATATTCTCACTCATAGGTGGGTGATGAAAAATGAGAACACATGGACACAGAAAGGGGAGTACTAAACAGTGGGGTCTATTGGGGGGAAAAGGGGAGGGCCAGTGGGAGGGGGAGGTGGGGAGGGATAGCCTGGGGAGAAATGCCAAATGTGGGTGAAGGGGAGAAGAAAAGCAAAGCACACTGCCATGTGTGTACCTACGCAACTGTCTTGCATGCTCTGCTCATGTACCCCAAAACCTATAATCCAATAAAAAATTTAAAAAAATAAATAAATAAAATAAAATAAAGTAAAAAAAAAATAGTAATAAACACAGATCTGCTTTTGATTAAAAAAAATAATAATAAAAAAATAAAAAGTCAGGAAACAACAGATGCTAGCAAGGATGCAGAGAAATAGGAATGCTTTTACACTGTGGGAGTGTAAACTAGTTCAACCACTGTGGATGACAGTGTGGCAGTTCTTCAAGGATCTAGAACCAGAAATACCATTAGACCCAGCAATCCCATTTCTGGGTATGTGCCCAAAGGATTATAAATCATTCTACTATAAAGACACATGCACACGTATGTTTATTGCATCACTATTTACAATAGCAAAGACCTGGAACCAACCCAAATGCCCATCAATGATAGACTGGATAAAGAAAATGTGGGCTGCAGCCTGAGTGCAGTGGTTCACGTCTGTAATCCCAGCACTTTGGGAGGCCAAGGCAGGTAGATCACCTGAGGCGAGGAGTTTGAGACCAGCCTGACCAACGTGGTGAAACCCTGTCTCTACTAAAAATACAAAAATTAGCCAGGCATAGTGGCAGGCACCTTTAATTCCACCTATCAGGGGGATGAGTCAAGAGAATCGCTTGAACCCAGGAGGCAGAGGTTGCAGTGAGCCCAGATCATGCCATTGCGGACATAAATAAGGCAAGTTTTAATTTTAAAAAAAGAAAATACAACATTTAGCCAGGAATGCTTGTAGTCCTAGCTAACCAGGAGAATGAAGTGAATAGACTGTTTGAGCCCGGAGGGCAGAAGTTACAGTGAGCAGAAATCACACCACGGCACTCCAGCCTAAGCAAAAGAACAAGACTGTCTCAAAAATAAACAAACAAATCCAAAAAAATCTCAGAATAATGATATCTGGGGAGCTTATGGGTTAATAAACACATCTATGACCTGGGAAGGTGGCACACTCAGAGAGGGCATGGAAGCTCTGTACTTCCTGCCCTGGTACCTTGCCTTATGCATATCTTCCATTTATTTGGCTGTTTCTGAATTCTATACTTAATAATAAAACTCTAAGTATAGGATTCCTCTGAAGTCTGTGAGTGGTTCTAGTTAATTCTCTAACCTGAGGGAGGGTCATGGGAACCCTCGAATTCATAGTGGGTGGGTAGATATTCAAGTAGCCTGGGAACCCCATTCGTAGCTGGCACCTAAAGTAGGGGCAGTTTTATGGAACTGAATCCTTAACTTGGAGGATATGTGCTAAGTACAGGCAATGTAGTGTCAGAATGGAACTGAATTATTGGACACCCAGTTGGTATCAGAGAATTGAGAACTAGTGCTGGAACAACACATTTGGTATAAAATATATATACACACACACACACATTTATCAATCACACTGTATTCCTGAGGGGGAAAATTTTTGAACTAGAATCTGAGCAAACCTGGAGACCTGATTACCATAAAAGGAGACACATGTGGACATCAAGAAGCAAGTTAAGAAACACAAGGATGAAGATTAAAGCAATTTAAGAGAAATAGCAACCAAAATGAAATGTATGGGTCTAACTGGGATCCGAATTGGAGAGAACCACGATCAACATGCCTACAACCATGTGGCATTCATGACACAATATGGCAAATTTGAATACTGCCTGGATATAAATAATATTAAGAAATTATTGTTTATTTTTAAGTATAAATAGTATTGTTATGACTTTTTTACTATTTTAATTAGTCATACATAAGAATATGAAATAATATGAATGGGACTTGTTTTAAAATAATTCAGGAAGTATAAATTTTTTAAAAGATTGGCCATGTATTTTAAGTGTAAAAACTGGGTGACGGTCACAGGAGACGCAATTAATGAAGTGTCTCTCCTTTTAGAATGTTTCAAAATTCCCTTCAATAGTTTTTAGAAGAACATAAAGGGAAATGTAAATGAGAAATTATTAAACTTTCAAACATCCCATGAAATCCAAAGACAATTAGTCTGGAGTGTAAGAAAAAATATTCACCTATAAACAAATACAGGTATCAGCAAAGAAGGAGAGAATGAGGTGGCGAGGGAAAGGAAAGTGACAGAAAAAGAAACAGCAGATAAGTACATAGATTTCCCAGTTGGACATTCTTCACCTTCAGCCACTGAACATACCTGCAGCTCCTGGGCAATCTGTTCTACTTTCAATTCTAATGCCTTGTAACTTTCAAGAAGCGCGTCCTTCTCTGTTTTAAGTTTTTCATTTTCTTCAATCAGTTTCTGGTCCTGCTTAATTTTTGCCAGGCTGACATTAGACCCTAAATTAAAGTCACCAACAGCCAAACTTTCCCTATAAAAACAAATTCATTTATTAAAAACCAAATGCATAAGACTGACAGAGATAAGTTATCTTGGGCTTTTTATGCCACAATATATCTGAACGTTAATTTTGAAAACGAAAATCTTTACCTAGTTTACAATATTAAAAAATAATTTAATGCAAACAAGATGTTATAACTGAAGTTGTAATTCAAAAACAATGCCTCTAATTCTCAAAGAAAATATATTCTAGCTTCTTCACAGCACAATTGACTACAGAGAACAAAGTAAAAACCATTTCTGTATTAGTTTTTTTTCCAATCCCTCCTCCCTGTTAGCGCCCCACCCTATATGAGTTTGGCTCCTAAAGCATTAACGGAATCTTATCAAACAGCTACATCTTCCAAGATACAGCATCATAGCTTGGACTGGGATGCAGAAGAATGTTTTGATACAGATGAATATCAAATCTGGCTTTCTGCTTAAAATTGGTAATTCAAAATTATCTAAAAAGTAAACTATCTGGAATAATCAAACTCCATCAAAAGTTTTCCCAGAAGAAGGAAGAGCCTCACTTTTGTTTAAAAAAAAAAAAAGTAAAGGCAATTACCTGAAACTCTTTAAAATATTCCTAAAGCCATAGGAAAAATTTCGAATCTTATCTGAAATTCTGGCTTTGCCTGAATAACTCAGATTCAGAAACAGATTTTTATTTTTGATAAGTGTATTCAAAAGAGTTGACATGAAAAATTGGTATGTAAACTTTTAAATAATTCAGGAATTCTTTTTCTTTCAAAATAGCTTTTAATGAAAAAATATCCCTGCTAAAGCAGATAGGAATATATTTGAGAAAAACAGAAATATCAGCATCAGCCCTTAAAATCACTGACAGAGTTAAGGATTCCAAAAGCCTAAGCGTTAATTAACTTCTATTCTACTATGACAGGGACCTCTACCATGAATTAGAAATTTACAGTAAAGACTACATTCTTACTTTGGAAATGTCATAGGATTTCCTGAATCGTTTTCATTCTTCAAGTCAAGAGTCAGCTTCCCACTTAAACGCCCCTTGGGTCTACTGAAAGTTGACTGGTTTGATCTATGCCCCCACAAAGGAATGGGGCTTTTGAGGTTCCTTAGAACAAGTTGACCAGGATCCGATTTATTTTCCTCACAGTTGTCAGTTCTGGAAGTGAGTTTGCATTTTTCTGCAAATCCTTTCTTAAACACCTCTTCCCCTATATCCACACTGCCATACTCGGCCTGAGCAATAACTGTTCCATCTTGAGAGGTTGCTTTAATTTTCATTTTTATTTCCTTTTCAAAAATCAAGCTCCCCAAAAAGGTTCTGCCCTAAGAAAAAAGAAAACATAAACCAGCTACATCAACATGTTTCTCTTCCCTTATTTTGTTTCTACCCATTTTTTCCAAGCATCATGTATTTTCATTCTAAAATCTCTATATATATACAAAGGCCTTACCTTGTTGTTGGCTATATGCAAATATACATATGAATGTATTCCAATTACATACCTGCTAAAATGAAGTAGCACTAAATACTTGTATAGGCAGTCATACTTATAAACCTAAAAATGTATAGTAAGTAAATATCCTAGAATAGTTCCCAGCAGATTACACTGACTACTTTGGTCCCAACTAAATATAATGGTATGCTGAAAAGCAATAGCACATAAAAATGAATCTCTGAGGCTGGGTGCAGAGGCTCACGCCTGTAATCCCAGCACTTTGGAAGGCCAAAGCGGGTAGATCACTTGAGGTCAGGAGTTCAACACCAGCCTGGCCAACGTGGTGAAATACCGTCTCTACTAAAAATACCAAAAACATCAGCCAGGCATGGTGGTGAGAGCCTATAGTCCCAGCTACTCATGAGGCTGAGGCATGAGAATTGCTTGAACCCAGGAGGCAGAGGTTGCAGTGAGCCGAGATTGCACCACTGCACTCCAGCCTGGGTAACAGAGCAAGACTCTGTCTTTAAAAAAAAAGAAAAAAAGAAAAAGAATCTGATATCTAGAAAAGGTACTCAATTTTACAAAACTTTAAAAGCTTTAGAGGCAGAGTCAGGGACTCCTGTTTTACAGTAAGATAAGAGCAGACATTAAAAAAACACAAACTGAAAGCACAAAATAAGAACAAATTATTTAAAAATCAACTAATTGAAATTATAAAATGTGAGGTATTCAAATACATATTCAAAACTCTTTTTCTTTTTAGACAGAGTCTAAGTCTGTCACACAGGTTGGAGTATAGTGGCACAATGTCAGCTCATTGCAACCTCCACCTCCCTGGTTCAAGCAATTCTCCTGCCTCCGTCTCCCAAGTAACTGGGACTACTGGTGCACACCACCACACCCAGTTTATTTTTTTTTTTTTGTAATTTTAGTAGAGATAGGGTTTCACCATGTTGGCTGAGCTGGTCTCAAACTCCTGACCTCAAGTGATCCACTCACCTGGGCCTCCCAAAGTGCTGAGATTACAGGGATGAGCCACCACACCTGGCCATCTATATTCAAAACTCTCTCAGACTTTTGGTTAAGAGGGCTACAACTGTACAACTCGCATGAGAAACTAGGTGGTTGCTAACCCTGAGCTATTGAATATCCATCCACAGAACTAAGCACAGATATACCTAACAAATATTTGGGATTAGAAGATATCTTGAGACTTAATTTTAATAAGAACTTGTCTACTCCTCCATAAAACTGTAATTCCTAAAATTACTTTAACACAATCTAACCACTCTTCCCAAATGTCCCTAGGTTATAGTACATACTATAATAGAAAGTAAAAGCAAGTATTCTTTTTCAGAATATATAAAGCATAAACTTAAAATTCAAATGTTTAGCCAGCTGCAGTGGCCCATGCCTATAATCCCAGCACTTTGCGAGGTCAAGGTAGACAGATCACTTGGGTCAGGAGTTTGAGACCAGCCTGGCCAACATAATGAAACTCCATCTCTAATAAAAATACAAAAATAGCCAGACGTTGTGGCAGGCGCCTGAAATTCCAGCTATCAGGAGGCTGAGGCAAGAGAATCACTTGATCCCAAGAGGTGGAGGTTGCAGTGAGTCGCTATCACACCTCTACAGTAAGCTGAGATCACATCATTGCACTCCAGCCTGGGTGACAGCAAGATTTCATCCCAAATAAAAAACCAAAATGTATATATATTTTGTGTGTGTAAAATATATACATATATACACATACAAATGTTTATATACATTACCACCAATAAAGTATCTATGAAACATACAAAAACATTCTCAGCAGCAGTATATTAATTCAGTTCTAAAATTAACTTTTTTAAATGTCTTTTTCCTCCTTGATTCATGTATGTTTCAACCAACATATATCTGTGCATCTTACTATGAAAAGAACAACAGACTTGAGTTCTAGGCCTAGCTCCTTCCTAATTAGGTTCATGACTTGAAGTCATTTAATTATTCTAAACTACGATTTCCCTATTTATAAAATAAAGTGAGAGCAGATAATATTCTAAGGTTTGTAAACTTAAGATTTCAGAGTTTTAGCCATGCAAGAAATCCAAAACAAGCCTCTCCCACCTTGGTCAAAGCATTTAAAGAAGAAAGTAACAAATTTTATATTTTAAACCAAAAACACAGGGTGTAATATTCTAATATCTATACTTCATGTTTACAAAAGCTGAGTCTTATGTACAGAAATGTTTCTTACAAGTAACTATAAAGCAGACAAAACTATACCCAACACACCCATAAGATTCTCAAGGGAAAACAGAGGCAAATACGTTACCAAATTTTAATTTTTTATAATGCTTACAATGATTTAATTGTTTTCCACATGAGCCACTTGAGCTGCTATTACAAATAACAATTACAAACCTGATTACTTTGCAATGTAGTATCTCCTCTCACAAGCATTACCATTCACCAAAGGAATCACTACTATACAACAGAACTTAAAAGAGGTAGGATTCCTGTAAGACTACCCCCGAAATTATCGGATATGTTCCAGAATTACATTACCAACCTAAAATTCATGGAAATGAATATAAACTAGAATCCACGTGAGCAAAACATCCATTGCCAATTACTACATCAAGCAGTATGAGCCTCTGCCAAATGATAAAATCTTATTAATTATAACACCATTAATTTCATATTTGTGGTATTTATGGCCAGGACTAGGTTAAAGATCACTTTTATTTAATAAATCCTTTCCCAAAACAATTATAGAAATAACTGTATTCATTATTTTCTCCATCATATAAGAGACTATCCTTGGCCATGCACAGTGGCTCATGCTTGTAATCCCAGCACTTCGGGAGGCCGAGGTAGGAAGATCACCTGAAGTCAGGAGTTTCAGACTAGCCTGGTCAACAGTGAAACCCCGTCTCTACCAAAAATACAAAAATTAGCCAGGCTTGCTGGTGCAGGTCTGTAATCCCAGCTACTCAGGAGGCTGAGGCAGGAGAATTGCTTGAACCCAGGAGACAGAGGTTGCAGTGACTGCAGTCAGCCAAGAGCATGCTACTCAACTCCAGCCTGGGCAACAGTGGGAGACACCGTCTCAAAAAAAAAAAAAAAAAAAAAAAAAAGAGGTACTATCCTTTTAAACATATACATCAGAAGAAACTACTTACATATATGTGTATGTCATTCTTATCTGTTCAGTGTTTACCTAGCAAAGATGAGCATAAAGATATAATTGCTTTCTAATTATAATTCCTATTTTCACTAAATCATACAGACTTTTATATTAAAGTAAGGTTTAACTATACTTACATTTTGTTCCAAGCACAGAGTTTTACTTTCATTAGCAAAAGTATTTAAAATCTGTGACTTGCCTGATCAAACTGGGTAACTTCTTGATTAGAAGGAATTTGTAGTCCCCAAAGTTTATACTTTTTTGCAACACTAGAAAATTGCAGCTCCAAAGGAATTTCAACTATATCAGATCGATTTAGAATTTCAGTATTTCCATAGTCAATGTATCTCACCAGACACTGGAAAAAAATAAGAGAAAAATACTAATACTAAACCTAGCTTAAATATTTCTAAAGAAACTACCAATTTGCTGTTCTCTGTTAATTCTGTGTTAATCACCTGTATATTAAAATAGCATTTTTACCTCAAAATGACAGAATGCATTCAGAAATAGATCTCTGGTATCTTCAAAAAATTTTTTTTAAAAGTCCATAGTCCATAAATTACAGTGATTTCTTTACTTGCTCCTAGTTAAATTCCAATAGTACCATTTCTCATTTGGGTGCATTTTTTTTTTTTTAGATAATTGGTATTTTAAATAAATATCAGCCTATGAAGGTTATGGCCCTCTCCTATCTCTCCTAATGTTAAAATCAATCAACATTCAATTCAATTTCAAGTTGAAAAGAATAAAATCTGAAAAGAAAGGCAAAGTTATCAAACTTCCTTTGATACAGTTAAACTCACTCCAGGCAGACCATGTAAACTAATCAAATTCACTACCCTTACCTCCAGCTCTAAATCTGTTTAAAAAGTAAAAAAGAAAAATACTTACTACAAGATCAAACATCATGTTGCCTTTCAATTTAAAAAATTAAAGCCAACTGAAAAACAAACGCAAAATATCATCTCCAGTTGTCAAATTATGGGAAAAAGGTCAATTAGAAAGTTCCATTCCACTAAAATAAACCATTATCTATGACAGCAAAAAATGAGACTTTTTTTTAAACTAAGCTATTCAAAGTATTAATCAAATTATTGTATCTTACCATCTTATTACGCCAAGGAAAAAATTTATAAAAGACATATAGTTTTAATTTTTTCTCTTTTATCCTTAACCACTTTCCCAGGTTCAGTGAAAACATACATATTATAAGTACAGAAAGCAGGTGTAGAAAAAATACTAAAGGAAATCCTACAGAGAAGCTTTCACACAGCCTGAAATATACAGCTGTCACGAAACAGCTATTCAGAATTCTCTCTCTAAATACCCTTAAAAATCTTCTATGAATTCACAATGTAAAAGAAAAAAATAGCTTAACACAAAGAATACATACCACATTTAACCAAGGCATAAGAAAGTGGCAAGCTAATCATTATTAACAATATTCACATCAACTAAGCAAAAGATACACCTAACTTCAGATCAATCAAAATGTTCTTCTCCTACTCACAAAGCTTAATAGAATGAACATCTAAAAGTTACTCATTAGTAAGAACCAAATGTAATTATTAAGAACTAAGGTAGGCAGGGCACAGTGGCTCATTCCTGTAATCCTGGCACTTTTGGAGTCTGAAGCAGGTGGATCACCTGAGATCAGGAGTTCAAGACCAGCCCGGCCAACACAGTGAAACCCCATCCCTACTAAAAATACAAAAATTAACCAGTGTGGTGGTGGGCACCTGTAATCCCAGCTACTCAGGAGGGTGAGGCAAGAGAATAGCTTGAACCTGAGATGGGAAGGTTGCAGTGAGCCAAGACCATACCACTGCACTCCAGCCTGGGCAACAGAGAAAGACTGTCTCAAAAAAAAAAAAAAAAAAAAAAAAGCTGAGGTAATCTACTCTTGAATAATCTGAGGTGATTATAAAAAGACTTGTTTTCAACAGTTAATATCTTTTGTGTATTAATCACTAACCCAGGTATCACTATTATGAATAAGCAATAAAGGGCTAAATAAGCATCAAATTTTGGAACCACAATAAATATTTCTTAAAGTGAAAAAAACTAGACACTTAATTTCCTGCCTTTTCGTCATTGATGATTTTCAGTACTTTGCATCTGTACCAACACTTATCTTCAGAAAATAATCCACCATAAATCTACGAAGAAAAAAGAAAGCAAAATTACTTAGCATTTTAGTGAAGTATAAAGCAGATGAATAGATCAGAATAAAAGTTAGCACTTAAGCTCTTATTATATGTCAATAAGTACTTTATATATAACTCATTTAATTCTCGCAATCCTATGAGGCGGGTGCTCTGTTTATGCCACTATGTACCCAAAGACATAAACCAATAAACTGCAGAACCAAGATTCGAACTTCTGACTTCAGAGTTCATTATTCTATTTGCATCTCCAAAAAAAGGAGGGTGAGGGGTATAAAGGCAAAAAAAAAAACTTTTAAGGCACAAGTATCAAAGACTTAAAATCATACTATTATAATGTCTGAAGACATAATCGGTACAATTTTTTAACATAAGCATGCCAAGGGCATGCCATGTAAGTTTAACTCTCAACTATAGTATAATCTGTATTTCCTACCAACCAAGAAAGATTTTACACTTTTTACTCAATGTATAAGGACATTAGTGCTATTAAGTAGATAAAACTAAATTAGATAATACCTTTAATACTGAACTTTATTTTATATTTATATTTTAATTGAATAATGTTTAATATAAAAGAGAAAAATGTATGTACTTTTGATGATTTTCTTTTTTTTTGAGACAGGATCTCACTCTGTTACCAGGGCTGGATTGCAGTGGAGTGATCACAGCTCTCTGCAGTCTCGACCTCCCCAGGCTCAGGTGATCCTCCCACCTCAGTCCCCAAGGTAGCTGGGACCTCAGGCACGCACCACGATGCCTGAGTTAATTTTTGTGGTTTTTTTTGTAGAGGCAACATCTTACCGTGTTTCCCAGGGTTGGCTTTCATTTTCTCAGCCTTAGCACTACCACCATTTGGGACTAGATGAGTCTGTATTTAGTGCCAGAGTGGGGCTGTCCTCTGCCCTGTGCCTTGTAAGATGTTTACCAACATCCCTTCTGGCCTGTACACACTAGATGTCAGTAGCACCACTTCCAGTTGTGACAAGCAAAAATGTTTCCAAACACTGTCAAATATCTCCTAAAGGTGTGCTATGATTTGGATGGATAGCATTTGGATCTCACCCATCAAATTTCATGTTAAAATCTGATTCCCAATGTTGGAGGTGGGGCTTGGGAGGAGGTGTTTAGACAGTAGGGGCAGATGGCTAAAAATGGCTTGGTGCCATTCTTGTGGAAGTAAGTTCTCACTCATAGTTCCTAAGAGAACTGGTTATTGAAAAGAGCCTGGTACCTCCTCCTCTCTCTGCTTCCTCTCTCACCATGTAATCTACAGACACTGGCTCCTCTTCACCTTCCACCATTTGTGGAAGCACCCTGAATCCCTTGTTAGAGTTGTATGAAAAGCAAAAAACTGGCCAGCCACAGTGGCTCACACCTGTAATCCCAGCACTCTGGGAGGCCAAGGCGGTGGATCACAAAGTCAAAAGATGGAGACTATTCTGGCCAATAGTGAAACCTCATCTCTACTAAAAATATAAACATTAGCTGGGCGTGATAATGCACACCTGTAGTCCCAGCTACCCAGGAGGCTGAGGCAGGAAAATTGCTTGAACCAGGGAGGTTTAGGTTGTAGTGGGCCAAGGTCACGCCACTGCTCAGTCCAGTCTGGCAACAGAATGAGACTCTGTCTCAACAAAAATAAATTAAAAAGCAAAAAAACTGTATTTAAAAGACATAAGCATCAAACACTTAAAATCTATTATAAACACTTAAAATACTATTATGTCTGAAGACATAATTGATACAATTTTTTTAATAACATAAACATGCCAAGTACATGCCACTTAAGTCTAACTCTCAACTATACTATGTTGAAGCTATGCTTTTTGTACAGCCTACAGAAGCATAAGCCAGAAAACCCTCTTTTCTTTATAAATTACCCAGTCGCAGGTATTCCTTTACAGTAATAAAAATGGAGTAAGACATGATTGGATTAGAGAGGATACAAAAATCACTGAAGGTTGATAACTACTTTTTTTGAGATAAGGTTTTACTCTGTTGTGCAGGCTGGAATACAGTAGCATGATCATAGCTCACTGCAGCCTCAAACTTTTGTGCTCACATGATCCTCCTACCTCAGCCTCCCACATGTCTGGGACTACAGGCACACACACCATACCTACCTAGCCTTTTTTTTTATTTTTTGTGAAAACAGGGTCTCACTATATTGCCCAGACTGATTCTAACTCCTGGCCTCAAGTGATCCTGCTGCCTTGGCCTCCCAAAGTGCTGGAATTACAGGCATGAGCCACCATGCCTGGCCTTAACCACTTTAAGTCATACATTCTCAACTGGGGCAATATCCCTAAGGGGATGAAAAGTGGTTCTTGTGGGGAGGTGGAAATCTTAAATATTACAATGGTCTGTAGGCCTCCAAAGTTCAACCTTACTGATAACACAGTTATTACATACCGTACATCTGTAGTATTAAAATATCTTAAAGGGAGAAGGCCCATTAGGCCATTAGGGAGAAAACAAGTCCAAAAATGCTCCTTAGGAGGGAACAATGGGAAAAACGACCGAAGAACACTGCTTTAAGTTACAGAGTATAAAATTTATTTCAATGTATCATTCTGAACTAGGACAAATCCACAGATTTATTTTATAAAACCTAAACATCAAATCTATTCACCAAAACAATAAAGTACACATAAATTCTGACAAACAAATAAATAAATAACAATTCAAATGCTACAAGGGATAAGTGTATTCAATTCATACTTAACTTTGGTTTCCTCAGCTAACATTCAACAACTAAAGGGCAAAAGAGCAGTAATGGTATGGTATGTCTCCCAACCCTCTTACTTCATTTTCTGGCAAGCAAACGGGTAGTAGCAACAATAACTGACAATCAACAGTCCTATATCAATTTCAATCCCTGCAAAAGATCGCATCATCTTTAATTAAGGCTTTGTAATAACATCACAATATGATTAACAATCTGGCATAAGGTAAGCGACAGAAATGCAATGGTTTATTGAAAACCAGGTGAGGCAGGACTGGGGACACTTGTGTCCAAGAATAGGGCTGGTACTCAATGAAATGAAGAATCTGAAGTTCTTGGCTCTGTTAGTGTGGTACAACCACCAAAACATGCAAATCTATCCCAGACAGACTTATCTGTCCTCAGGATATAATGAGAACTATATATTCACTCTCATTGTGCCTGGGCCCAATCTTCTCCCTCAGCTCCATTCTTCAAAGCCTATGACCCTCCTACATGGTGGCAAGGAGAGAACCAGTTAGATCACTGAGGAAAACTGACAAAGTATAATCCATTTATGAATAATCAGAAGTGGCTGATTAATCACTTATAATCAGATGCCTACTACTGATGCTAGTTTAAGATTTTTGATAATACAATTAATTTTATATTCAATAGAAGAAAAGGGGTATGTCTTAATTTATAACAATATTAAACATAGTCACAGATCAAGCACAGTGGCTCACACCTGTAATCCTTCCCTTAAAAAATTTTTTTAAATTTAGGAATGCCTGCCAATTTAAAAAAAGAAAAAGAAAAGAAATAAGGCTCTACCACAATTTGTTCATTTTTCTAAACAGGGTAACAGTTAAGGAGATAGGTTCTGTGGGTTTCTATATTTGATCTACCGTTAATTAGCTAGTGACTTTCATAAAGTTATCCTGGCTGTGCCTCAATTTCAAAAAAAAGGTGTAAAAAATAACAACACCTGCTTCATAAGGATGCTGTGAGCATTAAATGAATGAGTGCATGCAAAATGCTTACAATACTAAGCACTACTTCACAAAGGAAATAAATACTATTATAATTACTATTACTAGTGCATTATATAAAGGACATTTAGTTAATCTCCAGTTTTGCCTACTAGCTGCAATGAGTATCTCTGTACAGACATCTTTGTCTACTTATAGAAATGCCCCAGGGTAAGTTATTGGCAGAGAATCTGATGCACTCAAGATTATAGTTACCTATTATATTGAAAAAGATGGTTAATACCCATATATAGTCACTTGATTTTAAAAAAACATGCCAATACAATTTAGCAAAGAGAAGATGCTCTTTTCAACAAATAGAGCTGGTATAACTGGATATCCACATGGAAAAATACTGAAGTTTATCTCTACCTCTTATCATAATCAAAAAATTTACTGGAGGTCACCCCAGCCCTAAATGCAAAAGGTAAAAACTTCTAGAGAAAAACACACACACACACACGCACACGCACACACACACGAAATGTATCTATGATATGATCTTGGGGTAAGCATAGCAGTCTTAAATGGAAAACAAAAAGCACATACCAAAAATTAAAAAATTAATAAATTTCAAAAAATATCAAGAAAATGAATTGGTAGGCCACAGACTAAAAGATACTAGCAATACATATAAAAGACAAAGGCTATATCAAGAATATGTACAGTCTGGGCACGGTGATTCCATGAATCTCAGCACTTTCAGAGGCTAAAGTGGGAGACCTGATTGAGCCCATGAGTTGGAAACCAGCCTGGGCAACATAATGAGGCCCTTGTCTCTACAAAAAAAAAAAAGAAAAAAATAGGGAGAAGATCCAAGATGGTCGATTAGGAGCAGCTCAGGATCGCAGCTCCCAGTGAAAGCGCAGAGGGTGAGTGGACGCCGCATTTCCAGATGGATTTTTCTTACCCACAGAACAGGAGATTCCCAGGAAGAGGAGCCCCACGGGTCACCAGCATGACTGTTTTGCCAGCGCCGTGGCAGAGCGGTTGTCCATACAAAATACACTGATCTGGGTGACTTTTTAGCTGGCGATTGGAGCTCTGGGAAGGCAGAGTGGCCCATTCATCAGATTAAAAAGGGGACTGAAACACGGAGCCAGGCCAGGAGTTTCCCAGGCAAAAAAAAGCACCATGAATCTCAGCGCCACTATTTCAGCCAGCTCACTGGGTCGCCACATGGGAAATCACATGGATCCCGGCACCTTTTCAACAGGCAAGCACCAGGCAGAGAGCTGACCATTCAACTAAAAAAA